ATGCATATTTTTATACTAATATTATTGATTATTTTGTAAATAAATATATATTAATCAAATGTATCTAATTTCAAAAAATAATCTTCTCATTAACATTAAATAAGAATGAAAAAAATATTTTTTTTCATTTGTTAATTTTTATTCAAGTTTTTATGTTAATTAAAATTTCTATTTTTATACCGTGGGGAAGAAGGATACGTGAGTGAACTGTAGTTAGGGCAACTATTTGGGAAATTTGAGATTTTATACTTTGACATTTTGGGGAGCCCGTGACCTGTCTTGTTAAAGAATTAGAGGGAAATTTTCTTTCGATTTCCTCCTCTGGTAGGGTTCACACGAACACAACATGGACATTTAACTTTTCCATTAACTCTATTTAACCATTCCAATTATAACTGGAAATGAAAAGGTAAAACAGATCAGCTAAAAGATTTTGTTTACTTGTAGTAAAAATGAAAATTTTGCTTTTAAGAGGTCAACATGGATTCTTTATCTGTGGATAAGTAGTGCCTTGGCTCTCTAACATCATGTAATAACAGGATTAGGTTAGGTAAATGTAAAATCATTCTCTTCTGACTACTCTTGGTGAGGGCAGGAAGGCTGAGTACACAAATGAAGATTTTGCATCACCAAGAAAACCTACATGAATGTATATACAGAAGAAGAAAAAATGATATTAAAATTAATTTATAGTAAAAATTGTAGGAAAATAATGAGTAATGAGGCAAGGAAGGCTATGTATCCACAGAGAAATGCGTTCACTGATGCAGCAGTTCTAATGCTTTTACCAAAGTGGGTCTGAACCTATCCACATCTAGCGTTACATTTTGTTTGACCAAGTATATTGAATGAAATGCTGACCAACCCTGTTTCCCAATCACAGAGGGATCCCTCAGAACTACATGGCCGGCTGGGTATTGCTGTATCAAAGTGCTCTCTTCTACCCCAATTTTGTAGTCCAAGTACCTTATGTTCATGTCCTTTGCAGGGTCTTCAAAGCAGGCTCTTGACGCCCATCCTGCTCCAAATGGAACTACTTGAATCAAGATTGCATTTTCAGGAAGGAAAACAATGTTGGTTAGGCCAGCACCATGAACTCCCATCACTACATCACAGGAGTTGATAATTTTTGCAAATCCTGGTACATCTGGGCCAGGTTCTGCTACAACTACTTGGTAGCTCAAGCTTTCTGCTAGTTTAGCAATTTCACCGACATTTGTGAAAGCTCTTGATCTCTTTCTTGAAATGATTAGAAGCCGAGGTTTTCTCTTATCACCATCCCTGATTTTGGCTGCTGCTGTGGTATTTAAGGAATAGGAACGACTTAAAAACTGCCGAAAGTTTTTCATGGAATATGGAGAGGTGGAAGGATCAATATTGAGCTCTGTCTTGGTTCGACCTTTAAGGCCAATCGTTAGGCTTTTGAAGCAATGGATATTATGTCTGTCATCAATGTCTATGAGCTCATATTTAGACAGTGCCTCCAATAATGTTTTGAACTTTGCAAGCCACCAAGATTTATTGTTGGTAATGAGAAACTGAGCTTCTCCATTAAAGGGTCGAGCAGTTGCATATAGTGGAACAATTATATCAGTGAAGGCGTGGAAATAGTTTCCTGACAATCCTCCAACAGAGAAAAGGATTGCAGGAACGCTGTGATTACGAGTGCAATGAGCGATATCTGGGCGATCAGGTACAAGTTTTACTGACCATTTCCTAGCAAAACCCTTTATCCCTACTAATTCTTTTCGCGCATAAGGAGTGATACTCCATGAGGTGTTTTCTGCTGCCAAGATATCTGTTTCAGATGAGACAATGAAAGCAGTGGAGGAGTTTCCGTCAATCCTGATGTCCCCTTTTATCTCACAGAACTCTGATCTTCCCTTGATATTGCACAGCAGCTCCATTTTTTCGTTCTTCGTCACAACATCGGCGTCTAGGAAAATGGACAAGAGCCAAGTGAGGGATTTATGACCTGTTATCAAGTCAAAGGCTAATGTTAATTCTGCTGAGGTGCAACTCACCAGTGGCTAATTGCTCAGAGCGGCTCGTAGCATTGACCATCATGGGACCCTGTACTTTAATTTCTGCATCTTCAAAAGCCAACACCAAATTATAACTTATGTTCAAAAGTACTTTCTTTCTTCAATTCAAAACAGTGATAGCTGACCTAGTTTGAGTTGATCTAGACTTACCATTAACTGACCTAGCTGAGCTGCTTGCATCATTGATGGCTAATGTATTGCTTGTAATAATTTCTGCATCTTCAAAATGAAAACTGAATAGACTTAATTAAATTAGATAAAATCACTTTATTTGGCATGATACCCAACCACTGATTCCCTCAGTGCCTAGGCACATTTTTGTGTAAGCATTCATAATCAAAACTTACCTTCGGCCATTTGCAAAGAACTTGTTTCATTTACAACAGATATTTCTTGCTCATCCCCCTTTGATAACCTCAAATTCACTGGAAACTCAATGGAAGTTAGGAAAAAATATCATCAGAATTTTAAACCTTCACATAAATATGCTCATAACGAAACAACTTCGATGTCAGAATAAATCGATACATAGGAACCTTCTCAACATTGATAGCTGAAGTGCAAGAAAAATGGAGGACTTACAAAGTGGAAGAGGACCCAAAGAATGGTTAAAGAGAGCGAAAAAGCTCAATGCAATGAGTACGCAAGCAGCCAACGCCCCATACCCCAACTTCTTTCGGTCATGCTTGCTAAAGCTTCTGGCAAGTAAAGTATCATATATCATTCTCACTAATGTAAACAAACCCTGTAACTACGACTTCTACAGCTAAAACAGCTTTTTTGCATATATATGACTATGCTGGATCTTTGTTCAAAGAGAAGAAGAGCTGTGCAAATAATCTGTATTAGACCTAGTTCTGAAGCAGCTTAAGTTCATGAAATAATGTAACGTTATAAATAAATAAATAAAAGCTGTGGCAACTTCTGCAACACTATGGACGTTGAGGTTCATAATTTCTTAAATAAAATTCTAGGAAGATTGTTCAAGTGTATGAAATTATGGGCACTAGAAAGGGACATTTGTGGGTGACTGTAGTGACAAAGCACCTCTTGTCATTATTATATTTAATATTTAATTCATTAACTAATTTTTCTTGCACATTCTGAAAATGTTAAATTGCTGGATTACAGCTTTGCTTTGAATGGCATATGTAATATGTTAACTTTGCTTGCTGTGTCGGTACTACAATCTTGCACAACATTAACAAATAGTATAGACCCCTTTTTTGTCTTTTTTTTTTTTTTTTTTTTGATCGCTGAAATTATATGGTTCTAATACATGGACCAATTGACTAATCGCCTTGATATTGCTAAATTAGGATCGATATTGAACTAATTACGCCAATATTAATAAAACCACCAGACCTTTTTGGGGTAGGGATATTTCGAGGAGAGATCACAACTCATGAGTTTAAACATTAAAGTGACAGAAAGGCAAGGGTTTTTGAACTGAATGAGTTGGAGATTTTATTTGTAAAGGAAAGAAAGAAAAAAAAAAAAACTATTCATCATTAAATAAATCGAACAGGATCATTTGTAGTTAGCAGATCACCAAACACATAATTAAGTCATGAAAACATGACCAACAGGTCAATAAGCAACCCATAAAATAACGAGATTAATTTGGACACATAGACACGGTATTTGGCCGACAGCTAGTTGAGTCACAACTTACCCCATTTGAACTAATGAAAGGAGTTGCTATCCATGGTATTCCTTAAGATTCTTTTCTTTTTTATGACATTTTAATTAGGTTTTGAATAATAATAATAACAACTCTATAAAAAATATATATGTTTAACTACTCACCCATGATTGATATATATAAGTTCACGACACCTAACTGTAATACTATATTCTAAGATGTGCAAAATTTTATTGATAAAACCCTAAGTAGTTACCATATCACATTCAATGATAATACATAAATACTAAATTATTCCTAATCTAATGAAAAGTTTCATTACGGAAAAAGACAAACACCATACACGTGTATTACCTACATTGCCCGTTTAATTAAAATTTGAGGTTTTAAGATCTTTAAAAAAAAAAAAAATAGAAACATAAATAAAAAAGAGTACCGGCTGATGGTTGGTAGGAACAGAGTTTAGCTAAATAAATATTATTGATAAAGCTTTAATAATATACTGAATTTGGCTAAATAATTAATGATAGTTATCTATAATAATTCAAAAGAAGAGCAATTTTAAAACTGGTCCAACTTATGAGTGTGATTGAATCGCATGCACTTTCTTGTGTGAGGGGTGATAAAAGAAAATTCATAAGGAAATATCAGGAGCATTTCATGAAGCAAGCAATAAAATTTTGCCAATTCGCAAAACACAATGAATGAAGAAGTGAAATTTTGGCTGAGTAGAAACTCCCCACTTAACATTCAAAAGGCAAAATTTTAGTTAAATATTTGAACTAATGTCGTCAGAGACATGGAAAATGTGTTTCTTCATTTACATTCAAGAACCAAACCTAACAAATCTGACTATAAACTGCAAAGTATAACATGCACAAAAGTCAAGACTGAGTAAAAGATTGATCACAAGTAGCACGACACAAGGGCGAATGATTTTTTTTTTTTTTTTTTTTTATCCTACTCAAAACATCAAGCACTAATGCTGCAATAGAAGTCTTCTTTACTCTAATTGAAGTTTTGGCTGATTTCTTGAATTTGTCCATGTCAAGGGCGTGTCATGGCTTAAATTCTGGATTCTGCCAATTCCCAAGTACGTAAAACATGTTGCATACATGAAAAATTGTATACATGCATACTGAAAAATGCAGGGAGGTTTTTACATTGTATCAAAATATGCTTTTGTGATAAAACTTCTTGGTTTCATTGTTAGGCCTAAATATCCTTCATTCTTTATCAATTTACAACTAAACAAGATTTCTCATCATTACAGACTCGAAAAAGATTTTCTGCTCCCAGAAAACAGAATCTCATTTCGGGTTCCAAAAGCATTGCAAGTTATTCATCAAACCTCCATTACCATGATTTTCACCCAATCTTATGCTATCCCCGATTAGCATGCTGCAACGTCAATTAAGGAAGATGACAAGTACATACTTTACCCAACAAAATGAAAACAACAAATGAATCCAGTGTAGATATCTCCGAACAGGCAAAATTATTCATTACGGGCATGGATTAGGGAACCTTGCATGAATTTTGTTGATTTCTGCAATTATTTCAGGTGAAAGCTCAATCATACATGCTTTGAGAACCTCATCGAGCTCCCATGATTTGGTAGCTCCAAATATTGCACTTGCAACAAGAGGATGGCTCAAAACAAAGGCTGCAGAAAAGATAAATAAAAGTGTAAACAAAAAACAATGAAAATGGAAATGAAAAATGCATTAAAAAAAAAAAAAAAAGAGTAAAAAGAGAACTTAAGGTGGATAAAGACCAAATATACTAAATAGTTCAATGCTTTTAAAGGAAATGGCTGAGGAACCACTACAGCTACAAGAGGATATGACATTTTCCAAATTAAAGATGTACATATGCAGTTTTGATTTGCAAAGTAACAAATTGTGATCTCATTCCACTCATAAGTTCAAAACTTTAGTCAAAACTAATGTTGCAATTTGTTTATTACTTCAAATTCTTAGATGCTTTAAAATTTCAATCAGTCATGAAGCAGAAAGATCAATTTTACCAGCATGTGTAGATTAAACATATGCACAAGTAGAAATGCACAACCATTGGGAGAGAGCGAGAGATCGTACCAATAGCAAGAGATACAGGATGAAGACCATATTTTATTGCAATGCCAAGATATTCCTGAAAACAGAGTCAGCGGAGAGAGTCTGTAAGAAAGAACTTGCTTTTTCCCTCTCCTTGTAATCCACAGACAAATTGAAGTTTAAAACTGTAAGAAGTCATCTTACCAAGGCAGCTGCTTTTATGATGTTATTGGAAAGGTTGTACCTTGACTCCCCTTCTGAATACCTTCCTGAAAGGCAAGAACAACGTAATCCATGAGAATAAATTGTGGTCAAGGAAGTTCAATCTAATCTATGGAGAGCTTCGGAAACAATAAACCATAAAACAACAGCGATCAACCTTTAAAAACATTTAATCGTGCATCTACTGGACCCCCATCAGCTGCAAAATACTTCCCAGAAAGTATGCCCATTGCCAGGGGACTGTAAGCCAACAAGCTGATCCTACAAAATTTCAAGGATGCAAAAGAGTAATGAATCATTAAGGCACAGAGATAGCTGAAAAACCATTTTCAGTAAAAAAATTCCAATATTCAATAGATTTAGAATCCATAAGGCCTATACAAATGAAAGTAGTGAATCTGGTTCCATTCAACGGAAACCTTATAACAAACAAAGGTGGTGCACTGATACTAGGAACAACACCCAGCCAACCCACCAGCATGGCAGAAGAGCCTTTACTGTGTCCTAAGTTCAAATTAAAGTTTTCAGATCAAATGTTTATCTGTTCAAACCATCAACTAATTGTTAGAAGTTGCACAAAAGTAGATACATAACATACCGCTCATGATGACAGCACTCAGCTATTCCAGCATCAAAAGTTCGGCAGAGCAAGTTGTAGGAGTTCTATCATTGAGATAATGAGTCACACATTAGCCTAGGCAAGAAAAGGCAGTAGAAAAACGTGGAAAAACAAGAAGACAAACAACAAGCATCACTTCACTAAGGAGGAACAAATGATACAACCTGCACAGATACTATTTTTGGATAATGCGCAACTCTTTCAGCAACTTGACTGAACTTCATTACACCATATGGTGTTTCATTACTGACTCCAATGTATCTGATCTACATATGAAAACTGTTCTATTGATAGGTGTCATGTTTATGAAAGAGTGAACATTCAACCATAACATGGTCACTTACCTTCCCAGCAGAAACAGCCCTGCCTAGAGCATCAAGTTGTTCCTCTACACCAACTGAACAGAACTGACGGGTGGGATCATACTCGGTCTCTCCAAACATCGGAACATAGCTGCACAAACACAGCCATAAATTACTTCAACAAGGTTAGACAGAGCTGAAGTGAACGAAAACAAAAGTGAAGATTTAACCAAGCAATTATATGAAACTTTTCGACAAACTGTTAACTAAACTGATAACATACACTCCACAGTCAAACAAAAAATAAAAAGGAGCAGGATTTACGTACAAACCGATCAGGCCAATGAATTTGGTAAAGATCAATGTAGTCAATTTGCATTCTCTTTAAGCTGCATCAATAAATTAAATAGAATTTCAGATATAAAACATAGTCATTTGACAACATTTGAAAACAAGTTTCCCAACATAGTTTGAACCCACCTACTGTCAATCGCCTCGGTGATATTCCTACCGTCCAAACACTTGGGCCCGCCTCGAATCCAAGTCATTTGACCGGAAGGTCCTGCAACCTTTGTTGCTAAGACAATGCGATCCCTTGGAATTTTCCTTTGTTTAATCCAACGGCCAAGGTACTCTTCGCTCCTCCCCTGAGTCTCAGCACGTTGAGGTACCGGATACCTAAGAATTGAAAATGCGAGTAGGTAGCTAATTAGAATATGAAAAAAAAAAAAAATCAAAAGGGAAAAGGAAAAAATACATTTCAGCAGAGTCGAAGAAGTTGATGCCGGCATTGAAGGCTTCGTCAAGAAGGCGAAAGGATTGGGGCAGTGAGTTTTGTTCACCGAAAGTCATGGTTCCTGGATTATAATAAACAAGTAAAGAGTTTCAGTTGCAGGGACTAATAGTTGTTGGAATTCAATTCAAATGGGAAACCACAGAAAAAACCTAAGCAGAGTCTTGAAACTTTTAAATTGGGAGTGAGGTTGAAGAGAGGAACAGGCATTGTTAAACCCATATGATATCCCAGTCGGATTCGGTAGTTGGGTTTTGGGCAAAGTAAACTCTCCGTTCGTTGGGAGCCGCTATTGACACTGTTATCGATTGCTAATTACTCTTAAATGTCTGGAGTACCCTTATTGTGTCGCTCAGGTTTCTGCCTTCAACTTGGTTCACCCACAAAGCTACACTCGTAGCGCCCGCTCCACCCATACCGATGTATAATGGGATCGCAGCAACTGGGAATACGTTACGCACAATTACACAACTAATATTCAAAAATTATAAATCAAGAATCTTGATCAATTTAAAATTAAATCCATATATACATTTATAGCTTTTTTTAGCACACGTCATGATAAAACATGTTTACTAAAGTACAAAGTTATATTCATATTTAAACTTTAAATATAGACGTTAAAATTCAAGTTGGCAACTAGTCAAATGATCATAAGACTTAATACATATTAAATTTTAAGTTGCCAATTAAACCTATCAACTATTTAGCCAAAAAGGTCAAAAATTAAATCCCTTCATAAGAGTATGCTCAAGGCACACCGCGACATCTTCAATGTCCAAAGAGGCTTTGTAAACCGAAATCATTTACATATACCACAAGATATAAATGTGAGATAACAGACCAATAAACATATTCATATATGACGTTTATAAACTTTCATGAATATATGTGAATAAATTTCCCTTAATACAGCTTAAAACAATATTTTCATCAAACTATGTCGTAAAACATTTGGTGTTAGTAAGATTATTATTGATTCTCCTATCAATGTCTTTTATCAAGACCATACAGCATTAGTAGGTTCATTACCAATTCTTCTATCAACTTCCCTTATAAAACCATATAGTATTAATAAGGTAAGTACTATTTTCCTACCAACATCCTTTATAAAACCATATGATATTGGTAGAACCATTACTAATTCACCTACTAACACCCTTTATAAAACTATATAGTATTAGTAAAGCCATTACATATTTTCCTACTAATACTTTGTACTTTTGTCAATACATTTTGCCTTAAAGTTTAAAATTCTTTTCTAAATACATATGCCTTTCATGATGCATTCCATAAACATGTAAATCAATGTTCATGATGAAAATGCACATAAAAGGTGTCATAGACTCATACTTTCCCATAGCATATTCAATCATATATGCATTCCATCACACAATATATTTAGTCACACAATCATATTCACACATAATACCACAATCAAACACATAAAGCCATTATGGTGAATTGAACCATGCTTACCTTAGCTCCTTAGCAATATTAACAATTATCATCCTCAAGCAAATCAATTCTTATCAAATAAGCACACATCAACGGAACTTCCATATAAATCAATAAACTCATAAAAGTTTATCATCCATCCATTAATCATGAAACCCATAAATTCAAAAATCACATATCACTAATCATTATCTTCAACCAACATAGGGATTTCTCAATCTTATAGTTTAGTAATCAATTTTACATCACCATTATCTCATTTCAAGCATCAATTAGCATAAATAAGTGTGTAATCATCAAATTCCTAAATTCAATTCAATTTATAAACCTAGCATATCTCAATTTTTAATCAAAACAACAAACCCAATATAAATTAACTCCAAATCCATCAATAAACACATGTAAACATCTCAATTTTAAGCTTGATTGACAAAATATTACCTTTATCAAATGAATCTTCAAACCTAAACTTCAATTTTTCAAAATCTTAAAGTCTCTAAAAGCTTAATCTAGCTAAATATCACTTTGATCATTTTGTTTTCATGCTTTTTAGGGTAATTAGGCAAGGTTCTAACATAAAAATTAGAGGAAGTAAAAGCGAAAATATATGAGTGAGAAGTGAAGGAGAAGAAAATGAAAGAAATGGGAGAAATAGTGGCAGCTCGATTTTTTTTTTTTTTCAAATTAGGAACCATAAATTTTTTATTTTTTATTTTTGTTTTAACTCACTTCTACACTTCCATTCAAGCCTTACGGTTTCCATCATTATGATCTATCTTACTTAATAAATTTAGTTAAGTTTAACTAAACCTAAATACCTCATTGTTTCCTTAATCTCCAAAGCACATATATCCAAAATACCACAATTAAAGAAACAATCACATATTTAAATAAGAATATAATCAAACACATAAACACACAATCATGCACATGCACGATATGAAATAAAAAGTAAGAAAATAAAATTCCAAGCATTACAACATTTATGTCATTAACCAAAGTAGGAAAGTGCGAACAATTTATTTCGAAGTAGGCTAAACTATTAAAAAAAAAACATATACCATCCTAAACTAACAATCCTATGATTGACCAACCTAAACAATATAGTTTTTTAAATTTTCTTTTTTATTAGGATTTTATTAAGAAATAATAAAAATCCTTTAAATTCCTCTCTTTTTTCCATTAATAAACTTGTTTTCCTAAGTTTGTAAAAGAAAAAAAAAAAGAATTGGAAAGATTTTTATGGTTTTTTTTTCCCATCAATTTATCAATTGAATCATAATAGAAAGGAAACATTAAAAAAAAAATCATATTGTTTAAAGTGTAAAATCAAAGATACTTTAATTCATAGGGTATTCACATTTTTGCTCAATTTCGGGGTTTTTTAAGGAAACTTGCAGGAAAAACATTAAATGCCCTCACAAACTAAAAAATTCATGACTTTTCATTCTAAATAATATAATTATTTGAATTTACTCGTTTTTATTAGAATTTTATTAAGAAATTGATAGAAAAACTCATAAAAATCCTCTCAATTCGTCTTTTTCTCTATTCGTAAACATGTTTTTTTAAGTTTGGAGAGAGAAAAAAGAGGAATGAGGAGGATTTTTATGGGTTTTTATACCCATTTCTCAACCAAATTCTAATACAAGAGACACATTTGAGAAATCATATTGTTTAGAATATAAAATCAAAGATTTTTTAATTTATGGGTATTTATTTTTCTTGCTAAAGTTACGGGGTTTTATATATATATATATATATATAATTTGTCTTACTAGAAAGTAAGGAAATTTCGCGCCTGAGGGAGGGGGACTTCAACTAAAAATTGTAAGAAATATTCCTATAATGTGAACCATGTGTCATGTTTTGTTTTAAATCTATAAATAACAATTTAAAGACTTAGAGCTCAATGAAGTCTAGTGGTGGGCTAGGCATATTCATGAGGGATGGAGATGCAAAATTAAGTTAAAGAAAGAGTCCCCGGTCTAGCCATATAAATAGTAAGTAAAGTCCGTGTTTTCCATCAACACACAAAACCCTAAAGTATTGGCATAGACTAGAAGGCTCTCTCTCCTTGACGGCTTCAATTTTCTTTTAATAATATCTTGAGCACTTAATCAATCATGGCAGGAGGTATGTATTTTATTAATTTTCGTTGCGCTTATATGCTTAGGCATATTTAATTTAATTATCTTACATATGGTATTAGCGCCTCCTTCTTGCTATATTGATTAGTGTTAATAGAGATCCATCAATTGTATTTAATGAGTATATATTATGATTATTGAATGGATGTGATATTGTAATATGGGTATTTTATTTTTTATTTTTTATTTTTTATTTTTTTATTTTTTATTTATTATTATTATTATTTTTTTTTGTAACTAATCGGGTGGGATTTCTAAAGAAAAAACGTATATCACTGTAGAAATCTTTAAATCAAATATATATCACTGATCCGTGACACTTTTTTTTCTTTCTGGAACTTAGAGGAGAGGCGCACACACCATGTGCCCAGTTAGACTACAAAACTTAGTCATGCCAAATTTCATCTCATATGTATCACGTACATATTGTCCAACATTGTTTCCTTTTATTAGATTAAACTAATAATAATAATAAACTAATATAGCATACGTATGCTTGCATAAGGATGGTCATATGTTATATTTTAATAATATTTTATTATCAATTCAAGTTATGCATAGTGTATTGTATATCAGTTCAAGGAAACATGATTAATTATGTATATCAATATAAAGTTTTCAATTGTTATTAAAGCAATGCTATGTTGACATGATGATGTCAATTAATTTAGGAATAGCCACAACATCTTAAGTTATTTTGATGATCACATTAAAGTTTATTAAATTAATATGCCCATAAAGTACGTAGCTTAATTTGTAATTATTTTATAAAAATAATGACTTGGCCCTACAAGGAGGTTGCTATTTTTATAATTTAATTGGAATAAGATAATAAATTGATATTAAGAATGGATTGTATTCTATGCCTTCGAGTGTGAATATTTTTTATTCTTGATAATTTGTTTATTAGTCTTATTATTAAAGAATTAGTGAATTCTATACATGATGCAACCTCTACCCACAGGAAGGTTAGAATTTGCTATTAAATTGACATTGATTAATTTAAATAAAGTATGTTCTTCATAGTATTAAAGTCTTTTCTTAGCTATGGCAACTTTTCCTACTCGCTTTTATTGATACATCTAGTATTCCAATGCTATGTGGTGATAATTTTGCTGATTGGAAATAAAATATTCTCTTTGCATTGGGGTGTGTGGATTTGGATTTGGCCCTACGTGTGGATGAACCACCCATCCCTATGGATTTAAGTGATGCATAGAAAAAGACTAATTATGAGCGATGGGAGCGATTTAATCACTTAAGTTTAATGCTCATAAAGTCTTGCTTAAATAAGAGTATTAAGAGTTCGAAGGCCATAGAGGAATACTTTGTTCATTCCGATAAGGCATTAGTCAGCACCCTAATGAAAAAGCTTTCTAACAAGTCATTTGACTATTCTAAAGGTGTACGTGAGCACATTATGAAAATGAGGGACACAACTATTCAGTTAAAGTCCTTAGATGTAGAGATTTCCGAGTCATTCTTGGTGTATTTCATTTTGAACTCTCTCCCTACCAAATATGGTCCATTTAAGATTTCTTATAACACACATAAGGAAAAATGGTCAATTAATGAATTATTGACCTTATGTGTTCAAGAAAA